GCTTCGTTGATCTGATTGGTTTATTTGGCCCGTCTATCACCAACATAGGCCAATCAGCTAACCAGTATTTTCGCCCCTTCCCAAAATTTCTTCCAACAGAATGTTTCCAGATGGATATGCGGAGCAAATCCATCTGGCGGAGTCAGGTTAAGACTTTGCAGCATTTCTTTGAATTCTTCATTCTGATTCCATCAAATGTGTTAATAAAAAAAAAAGTGTTCACAACGCTAGTCTGTTTTTTTCCCTTTAACTTTATTGAACACAAACATTTCTGACAGATTGTGAAGTCAAAATGAGTTTTCCTTCATTCCTCTGTGAGTATTCCATATTTACACCAGGAAAAAGTCAACAAACAGACACTCAGAGGAAAAGCTTTCCAGGCTGCTGTTTACAGAGAGAAAGGCAGGAGAACAGAGAGTTCTGATCAATGACAGTGACCAGCTTTTCCGAGCATGATGGATGTTACTAATCATTTTTGCTGTTGTGAGGCACAGGACCTTGGCAGTAGATTTTCCTTATTTTTTATTCCCAAAATAAAATAAACAGAAGCAAATCTTAGTGGTGCATGTGAGAAAAATCTGAACAACAAGCTCTAGCTGATTTAGAAAAAAACCCCACATAACTCTAAGGTAAGGAAAAAGGAAAACAAGTAATATTGTGTTTTTAATTTTACATTTCCAAACAAATTTCAGGCAAGAACAATGTAGTTATTCCTCCCTCTTCTAACAGCATTTTTTTTGTTTGTTTTATTAGGATTGGGAGAGCATAACAAGCTACACAAACACTTGATAAACAAAGAAATGCATGTGAAAAAAAGAAAACACTTCATGCTGTTTCAGACATAGCTAATCCTTTGAGCATGTGTTTAAATTCCATGTCCTTGTTTTGTCTGCAGTTTGCATGTGATGCAAATTCGAGTGTTAAATGTTTTCTTTTGATCCTTTTCATTGGTCTGTTTTTGCAAGATTCAGAACAGTGAAGGAAATTTTATGCTTTTCAGTGAAAGATTTGTTATTAAAGAAATAGAATGACAAATCTGCATAAATAATCATTTTTTGAATCAAGATTACATTTCAAGAAGAAAACAATAACACATAAAAAGGAACCAGAATAATATAGTAAATATGTGAAATTTGAATAAGCATCATTTACAGCTCGTTTTTTTGAATTGGAAGAAGGAAACTGACAGAAGAATAAAAATGGAAAACTTTGTAACATAGGAACTGATAGGAAGGGATGCATGTCGTCCATTTTTTCTTTCAAAGGCACTCAGTTGTCCTATTTGCTGCTGCCTGGCACCTCTATGCTGCTGCCAGCAGTTTCACTCCACACTATCAGCTACATGATTTCACAATAAAACTAAAGTCTACAACACAGTGGGCACAATGTGTTTACACTTCACGCTGATCTAGATCCCAGTCTATGATGGAAGCAACACTCTACATAATAAGGAGGTCGGATTTCTGCTCATCTCTTTTAACTTTCCAAATTTTATTTTTTAGAAGAGATCTTTTATAATAAACAGACCAAATGTATTTCTAAGTATGGGTGTAAATGTATCACCTTTTAAGAGATCTTTGATTTAATCAAAATCTTAAAGACACCCAGATATCATATATTCACATTTTCTTAGGTTTTTGGGAAACTAATTTTAAGAATTCAAATGTTGAAAATGTTATATTTTGGCCTTGAACACGTCAGCAATCATATCTAGTTTTGATTGGGGTTTAAAAAAAAATAAAAAAATTCCTTTGGATTTAAAAAGTATGACTGAAGTGAATTTTTATTCGTTGGCTTGTTAAACAATCCTTACCTGCAGATGCACATTATCTCTCTTTGTAAAAAAAATAATGAAAAGTCCAACCATCAATTTGGGCAGATTTATTCACTGGGGAAAATCTGTTTTATTTATTTTCTAAAAATGTCAACATTGAATTTTGGAAAGAAATTCAAAGTTTTATACTTTTTAACCAGATCACTGTTGCTATGGGGAGAACGGGGTTCGGTAGCCTAACTTATAAGGCATGTTCTCTCATGTTTTTCATTTTTATTATGAACAACGGGTCTCTGTATCTCACTTTAACAATGTCACAGCAAAACTAAACGTATAAAAAAAAATTGCATGCATTATTAATGAAATAATTCTGAAGGGGTGCTTCGCTGTTAAAATGATGAAAAATACTTTCAATTAAAATCAGAAATATTGCAAAGTTCATGTTTCATAAAACTGCTAGTGACACATTTTGTGTCCCTTTGTGGATAATGGCTAAAATTCAAAACAAAAGAGTAGAAAATCCAAAGAATGACAAAATGTAATTCCGTAAAAAAAAAAAAAAAAAAAAAAAAATCTTCATTAGTGACAAAATGTAAGAAAATTTGGAGGGAAGGCAGACTATCAAATAAACTGATCACCTAATAGTTCATAATGTTTGAAGTGTTGTGTAATTGTCAGATATCAAAAACATAAGGGTTCATTTGTAAAGTTTAGATTGAAAAAGTTTATCTTAGTGGATTTTTTTACTAAATAAAAATTTCGAGCAGGGTTCTCCAACTCTAGTCCTTAAGATCTACCACCGTGCACATTTTTTGACACACCCCTAATTTACCACAGCTGAATCAAATGATTCATAACCTATAAAGCCTGTCATCAGGTTTGGAAAAGGCCTGGTGACTTTCTTCTACTTTGATTGAGGTTTGCTGAAGCAGGGATGCACATAAAACACCAGAGCAGTAGATCAGGCCTAAAGGAAGAGACCACAGATTTAGAGATTTACCAGCAAGGCCTTTTAGATTGATCAGAACAGTGGATGCACATGTCTAATCTTCAAGTTAAATTCTATAAAAGTGTTGATATCAAACAATCTAACATAATAAAAATAGAATATGGGTATGGAGGAGCTAAATGCTAAGTTATAGAAAAAGGATTAATTTGCAATCACTATCATGTGAGCTGTGTGCTAAAAAAAATGTGGATTAAAATCCCAACTTTCTGTCTTGATGCATCCTCACCTTTAGCTTGGATTTTCAGAACAAGAACAGAACTTGTGAGGTCAGAAATGTTCCCATAGGTAGAAAAAGGCTCTGAAAAGAAGGTCTTAATCATATACAGTCGCTAAAGATGTATCTCCTTTTTGCTGGGGTATTCAAAAAATGCACATTTTATGGGTCTAAATTAGGGTTTCTTTGCACTAAGCCATATAATCAGAATGAGTTCAGTTTTGTTTTCAGTTTCAACCATCGGCCCAATATGACTGAAGGGTTTGTTTATATTAGCATGAGCTTAAATAATATCCTTATCGGTTACGTGATGCAATATGAAAATCCCATCTGTGTCAGTGCCTTATACAGTACAAGACACAAAAGTTGCAGAACTTGCAATTCTTTGGGCATATGAAGATAATCTATGGTAAGTGTGCAAATAGGGTGAACCAAGAATTATTACAGCATAAAGTGTAGTAAGGTAAACCTGCAATATTCTCATTTGGAAAAATGTCTTCTGATAACATGAAAATGCAATAGTATGGTAGCACACCTGCAGAATATATTTATATTTATGAATCAGGGCGGTGAAGATAGTTTATAAAATAAACAATATAGAAATAAAAACCAGAAATCTTTATTAAAGATGTAAAATTTGGCTTTGAATGAATGAAAAGTCACAAATCAAACTGATCAACCAGAACAAATCGACGTAGAGTTGAGTTTAGAGTCCCCAGGTGTTGGTTTGACTCCTCTATAAACATATAATTTAGAATGATACAGAAAGTAGACATATTGTTTAAAAAAAAACAAACATTTACTCATCTTTATCATATAAGACTTGGAAAATTAATTAATCATTTGTATTGCTTAAATTAATTAATGGAAATTATCTGTGTATCTTGCTGTTGGCTGCTACTCACCCAGATCTATTAGCTAACACCTAAAGTTACAAACATATTTATGGATATTTTTAAGCAAAAATTACTGCTACTGCAAACTGTTGTATTTGATAAGAAAAATGCACAAAGCCGAATCAGAAAAAAGAAATTTTTTCAAATGCACAAATGATGATGCACAAACCTTTTTTGTTGAAAATTAGTTCGATTTTTGAGAACCTATTATTTTCTCCTTTTTTTACCCCATACATTTGTATTAAAATGAGATGAACCAATACATTTATAGCCAGACTCCTATTATTGAAATTCTTTATCTTGAGTTTTATTGATCTCAATCCTACATGTTTATCGATTACCCCAATATATTTGGCCACACAATATTTATTTGATTATTAAGGTTGCTTTTAGGGATACCTCAGAAATGATGAAGACAGTTTAGGACATCAACATCAGAATTTAATTGGAAAAGTTCATAAAAAGAATGAAACTAGGATTTAATGTAACTAATCTAAAGAAAAAAAAAAAAAACATTGTCTCCTAAAAATTAAGTTTGTGTACAGGCGAACATACAAGCGCTGACAACTCTACAATGATCTATAACAATTCAATCCTTATGGAAACCACCCAAAACCTTCTATGTTCTAACTTTGTTTTCTTCAAAATAAAAGACCTGCCCATGACAGAAATATCTTGATAAAGCTTAAAAAAAAGGACCCAAGAATCTGCATTTTAATCGTAAATTTAATCACTGAAAGAACTGACAGCTCACAACACTGCAAGGCAACCAGATCCACCAGGCAGTAAGTCCAAGAAGCCAGTAAAAAAAATGAACTTTGCAAACATAAAAAGAGCTAGTGATCAAATTAGTGATTCAAAATCCAATAATTTTGGAATAGATTAACTAATGTTTGTACTACCAAGTGTACCTACGGTAAGAGGGACCAAAGTGGGCTTTGCTGCAGTAGAAAGGGGACAAAAATGAGGCTAGAGTAAGCCCAACAGTTATAAGAACAAATTTTAAGCTTTTTTGCAGCTACCTTTAAAGCCTGACAGAGATTACAGTAGAATAAAGGCTGAAAGACAACAGATTCAATGACTGCAGCTCAGCAAAGCTAGTTAATTAGCCGTTAGCTGAAATCCAGCAATGCTGAAGCCGGACAGTGCCGAGCAGTGCGCCTTGAGGAACGGAGTAAAAAAAAAAAGCACTGCCTTTGAGCATTCAACATCAATCATACTAAATTCAGAGATGTTAATCTTTCAAATTTACTAAGATGGCATTAATTAAAAAATGCACATTTTATGGGGCTAAATTTGGGTGTCTGTGCATCAAGCCATAGAATTAATCAGAATGCGTTCAGTTTTACTTTCAGTTTCAACCATCGTCCCAATATAACTTAGGGGGTTTGTTTATATTAGCATGAGCTTAAGTAATATCCTTATCGGTTAATTGATGCAATGCCTTATAGAGTACAAGACACAAGAGTTGCAGAACTTGCAATTCTTTTGGCAAGTGTGCAAAAGAAATGCAAGTGTGCAAATGGGGTGATCTAAGAGTAATTGTTACAGCGTCAAATGTGTAGTAAGGTAAACTAGCAACATTCTCCTTTGGACAAAAGTCGTACTGAATTTAGAGATGTTAGTGTTTTATATTTCACATGATGGCATGAAAAGTATGAAGCAATATTTGGAATAAGTAACTGTTGTTAATCAGGAGAAAACTGGCTTGCTTAAATCATCAGTGGCTGTAAAAACCTCTGATTGGTCCATGTCTAAACTGTACGCAAAGAAAATTTTTAGGAGAGCAAAACAAAAAGCAGTCAGTATTAACATCAAGGGGAATACTTTGCACGGAAATGTTTCAGTTTTTGGGACTTAAGATGAGATGAAGTGAAACACAGGTAAGAAGCGAAACGAAACAAACCCGATTACATACGAATTTACAGAAATACAGCAACTTCACAAACAAAAAAAACCCCACATGCTTAATAAGACATTAAAAACAGCTAAAGCGGCAATCAGAACATTACGGAAACAAAAATAAAAATGTAAAAAAAGAAGACCCAAATCCATAACCCCATAATGACGAGTAGCAGAGTCGGTCTTACATTTGTGTGCATCTTAAAGGCAGTAAATCTGTGAAGTAAAGCTACAATTCAACCAACTTTATCTAGATAAAATACTACAGATGCTATGCTGCTGTTAACAGACAATTGGTGAAATGGATGCATGAATATTTATTCCTTACAATGACTGATTTTAAATGGGTGTAAAAGAAAGTAAGGCTTTTAGGTCTATTGTACCTGGTCATTTTCCAGCAGACACTTTAATTTTTTTTTCCTAGTTGCTGTTTCTAATGCAGTGGGATGGTGTGTGAAATTGTGTTGAAGTTTCAGTGACTGTGACCAGCCCAGCTTTTAACCTGTAAAGCCCATTCCCCCAAACTCTCCCAATCCAAACTACACCCCTTCCCCGTCCTTCTTCTCCCTGCTTCCGGGAGGCGGAGATTACGCTTTACTTTCGTTGCCGTTTGCCTGAGGAGCCTCGTTGGGAACCGTCTTCACCTCAGTCGTGGCGTTCTTCACCTCCGTCTCGGCTTTGGCGTTTTCATCCTTCACCGTCTTCCCACTATGGGTGGAAACAAAAAGAGTGAGCGGAAGAAAGTGAAAGAAAACGGGAGATTCCCTTAGCATCGATAAGTCTCTCCTTTCACTGCTAAACTGTCTGCTCAGAGCTTTTTCTCTTCTAAATCCTCTAAGAAAGAAAAGGGGTGAAAACATGCAAAATGCTTTGAAGGAATTTGTTGTTTTCGCTCCTGGAACTGAATGCATTTCACACATAATAGGATTGAGCTCACTATCCTAGCCAGACATCAAGCAGGAGTACATGGATGTCACAGCTACTTTCCAGCAACAATGAATGCTGATGTGAAGTGACACAGGGCCGGTACAGTAGACACAGTGTTGGAGGGAGGGATAGACTGAGGCATAGCCTACAACACAGACTACAATACACTAGAGGATTACATGCCATCTGGACTCAGCTGAGCTCAGACACAATTGGAAGAAGCTTTGAAGCCATACATCACATTCTGTCATTTTAAAAATGGGCTTCGCCTCTGCTGTCCTCCCTGCTGCCTCTCGCATCGCTACAGTTTTCTATCATACCAAGAGTTAAAATGAGTGTTAAGAATTAACGTTAATGGTTACAAATCAGACTTAAGAGCATTCCAAAGGGAATTCATGTCATGCAACAATGACTAATGCATTACATTAAAATGGAGAACAAATGCATCATGTTTATTTGTTGTGCAAAAAAATTAATAAATTAAATAGAACCATTGGTTAGTGTTTTGCATTTCACCTGGGAAACATATAAAAACATAAATAAATTTCAGTAAAAATTTAATCTTCTTAAAAATGTTTCCCATATAAATGTAAATCTGTGTTTAATTGCTCTGTGGCTTAAAGACCTGGTTGTCTGACATGAAGGAGACAAATCTTTTTTTTAAACTAAAAAAAGTATTTTTTTTAGTAATTCTCAATTCAATAAACTAGATTTTCAAAGAAAATAAAATTAGTCACCATTAAAATAAATCTAATGCATTTCCTTCTAAATTAATTCATTAAAAGATGAAAACTTTATGGAACCACATTGTGGCTTAAAAAGGAGAACGTTATTTTATATTTAAGGTGGATTTATTGTTTATTGTTCATTTAAGGACATCAGTTTAATTTGCTGTTAAAAAAAAAACAAAAACATTTTCTGAACTAATGTACTTCTCATAAATACACTTTTGTTAGGAAAAAAATAATATTATTAATATTATAATAATAATATTCAAAAACTTGAATTTTGACTTAAACTTAAAATGACAGTTTTTCCAAAAAGCTAAAAAAGATTTTTGGATCAAATGCTTTATTTTTAAAACTTTCTTCTAGTCCAAACTACATGAGTCTAGTGTTCTATAGCTATTCAAGCCTGAGCAAATAAGACAATAATTAACTTTTCTAAAGATTTTCACAATCATTTTTTGATCATTTGGGGAGGTGTTGGCCTAGTGGGTTAGAGCAGAGCGCTTGTGATCCGAGAAGGTTTCAAGTATCCGGTTTGATCCCCATAGCCTCCACTCTGGGTCCCCGAGCAAGACCCTTAACCCCACACTGCTCTCTGGACGCCACAGAATGGTAGCCCACTGCTTCCCAAGGGGAATGGTCAAATGCTGAATGGTGAATTTCTTTAGTGTGAGATCAATAAAGTTTATTTATTATTATTATAAGCAGTAAAATATGATTTTTTTGTCTTCCACAAATCAGAATGCAATTAAGCTGGTTTTTAAGGTCTGCTCACGTCCAGATAAAATTATAAGAAACTACATTTTAACAGAAAACTGCTAAAATATCAGCTCCAAGCGGTCAAACCAAAGCAGGAGAATGTGGCAAAAATTAAGAAACTTCCTGTTGCTACAGAAGAGTTACAGTTTATCAAACATTTACTGCCTCATGACACATTTTTAGCATAAATTATCCCCAAAAATAATTTTATTTTGATAAAAGATGAGGTTTAAAGTTAAATCTTGTTTTATTGGTTTGTTTTTCATGTAATATATCTTTACTGTTTAATCTCTTACACTGCACTGTAATTTTTATTCTTGTGTTCTATTTAGTTTTTATTTTTAACTGTTTCTTCTGTTTTTTATTTATTTTTTTAACTGATTTTATGTAAAGCACTTTGAATTGCCCTGTTGCTGAAATGTGCTATAAAAATAAAGCTGCCTTGCCTATAATCAAAAAAACTGTTCAGCCCTTTATTGATGTTAATGTCTATTGGCTAGAGATACCATGGCTGTGTCATAATGTCTGCCCTAATCACTAAACAGTGCACTATATAGTGGTTACGCCATTTTAAATGAGTGTCCGAACATCTAGTGGATGAAAAAGTAATGGGCTCCAAATTTCTCACATTGCACCTTGAAAAGTGGTGACCATCCATGGTCACTAGACGAGCAGATATATCCTGGAATGCTTCGCACGGACAGCTCTCCTCGCAAAGCATTGTCGTCACAGGGGCCCGCTGTCGCCATAGGCGGTGACTAATAACAAAGATGGCGCAGGCGCCGCTTAATGGAGGCGAATTTATGTGACCAAAGGGGAGCAGAAAGTAGTGATCATATGTCTGAACGGTCAGTTAACTGAGTTTACTATAAAGTCCACTATAAAGTCCCCGCTCTATATAGTGATTGAGGGATTTAGGGGTTAGAGTGGATATTCGGACACATCCCAAGACTTTAGAACCCCTCTATTAAATTCTTAATTTTATTTAAAAAATAATAAATAATATCAAAATAATACTAAAACAAAAATGTAACTGTTTGATACATCTAAGCAAATTGCAGATGTTATCAAATTCACAACTGCAGTCCCTGTATGCGAGTATGTACAGTCTGCAGACTTTTATTTTCTGCAAGCAGAGAGCTTGCAAATGAAGGAAACTACAGCAGTGAAAAAGCCAATTTTGAAGGAGGGGAGCACAGTGGGAGAGCTCTGCTTCAGGCCTGTCTGAGCTGTGAAGTAAAATCCTTCCAATGACAAGTTGGCTTTCATCACACTCAGTTTGAGCTGACAAGATCAGTGCATCCAAGTAACTCTAAATGCTTCGCTCTTCATCACTACATCCTCTTCTGAGCAGCCGGGTGAGCAAATTAAGAGATGGAGGAAGAGGAGAAAGATGAATGGCTGTCAGCAATTCATCTCCTACTACAGTTTTCTTCTCAGCTTTACAGGCTGTCAGGAATCAGCAATGTCTCCAATCTCACAACCAAAATCCAAAAGCTCCTCTACAACATCTCAACTGAACCGGCTGCTGCTTCATTAAAAACTCATATATTTGTAAAGCGTTTCTGAGGCTGGCCATTAAACTGACAATATTTAAGAATGAGCCCAAAAATATGGGTTGTGACTAGGGATGCATGATAATCGGCCCCCTATCGGTATCGGCCTTAAAACTGAATATCGGACATCGGCCACCCCACCGATATTT